GATTCCTTCGTTTATTTTTATCGAACATATAACTTCACCATATTATATATCACATTACGTTCTACCTTTAATTGTGTGAGTATGGATGTCCTAATTTCGCCGCACTCCTAATTTAGGTGCACAGCTGAATCGAACTTGTGAGCGGTGGTTTCGGGCGGTATGTTACCTGGACCAACGCAGTGGTTATGTTCAGGTTAGAACCGAATTCTGCGAATTAATACCTTTCACCCTTGTACCCACAGTTCTGGTCTCTAACTATAAGCTAGTCAGTAACTAGTTGGCTACTGTTACACCCAGGTGAGTTAATGAATATTTCCCGAAACCAATCAAGAATTTCAATAAATCAATTTTATACGTCCGCATTTACATACTTCAATTTTTTTTGCTCATCTCTACTTTAAATTAGTTCTACAATTTTGTAATTAATTTTACTGATCCTAACATTGAAATTTCAATTCATAAACACACACAATAATAATTATATAATTAAAAGAATAAGAAAAATTTGGTCTTCAACGTATTTCTATAAAATATTAGAAAATCTAAAAGTGCATGCCTCATAACGCTCTTTATTTTTTGAGAAAAAAATAAATCGTATAATTAATTCAAGAAAAAAAAAATTAAGTAATTTCTTATAGAGTATTTTCTAATTTTTGAAGTGAAACTTCTTCATCGACGTATCAGAGAAATTTTATAGCAAAGTAAAAAAAATCGTCACGATTTTCGGTTACGCGCCATGTTGTTTTTTTTTTATCAAAGTTCAGTATAGTGACGTAAAAAATAAATCTGCTAAACATTATTAATTCTGAAAACAATTAAAAAAAAAAAACGCTATACGGCCACACCCGAAATGGAAGGTAGATTTCACTGAATGAAATTCTTGATAGAATGACGTACATAAGTCGGTTGTACTACTCATTGCCTGAAAATGGTTTAGTTGCACTCTGAACTTTGATAAAATAACTAAAAATGGTCAAAATGTTAATGTTATATACGTCAAATTAAAGGTAATTTCATGAGCTATTACATAAATTTTTCAAAAATTAGTTATCTCTGTTCAATCAAAAGTTATACATCAATGAAGTGGCCAAAAACGAGATTTTCACTATTTTGAAAATTTTAAATGGCCGCCATTTCTAAACTAATTGACGAATTTCGCTCATTTTAGGGCTCATGCAAGCTAATTGTCCAAGGAATCTAAATATACTAAAGTTCGTTAGGATCTGTTAAGAATTCTCGATCAAGTCAATTTATTTACAGTATTACTATTTTAGAAGAGTTTTAAATAGTTTTTTGATTCTGTAAGTTTTTTCCGTCAACACTTGTCCGTGATATAATTATTTATTGATCCTGTCACCAAAATATGATTGTTTTTATTTATTCCAAAAGTACCCGAACTATTATTTGCTTATTGTGATTAAAAATATCGAAAAATTATTAAACAAAAATTTTTTTATTTATAAATTGTAATTCTTGGCAGTTACTTAGTGAATGCAGATTACTAGCAGTAATTAATTCAATTTTGTTTAAGAAATCAAGACATCAACAATAGAATTTCCGGCTGATACAAAAAGAGTGTAGAAGGTTCAATATCGATATAAAAGAACAGTACACGGCAAAATGCATCAGAAAACTTAAGCGAGTAGAGTCCTTTGGCACATGAAATGAAACTGTATCCTGATATGACACCTATGTGCATATCAGAAAAAGACGTCTTTGATGTTAGGAATCGAAAATGGAAATTAGATCGCTTTGTCACTTGTATACATTGTTATTTCGTACTTATGCAAAGCTGTCAAATAAGAATTGCTGGGAATTCCGGAATAGTTTAAATTCCAATTTTGATGGGAGCTTTTGAATGTAAAATTGTTGTGCGTGGAGAGGCGTGACATTTTTTGCACCCAAAAAGAGTTCAGATCTAATTAACCTTTTTTGATACTAAAAATTTTTTATTTTCATCGATTGTTTATTTTTAACTTTACGCTGATAAAAAAATTAACTTGACGTAAGAGAAAAATCCTTGAATCAAGAATAATATTTTGTAGAGTTTGATCATCTTGAATCACGTGAAAAAATTCTTGAACCGAGAAATTGCTGTTGATTCAAGTAAAATTCACTTGATTTAGGATTTCTTCTACTTGATTCAAGATAATTAAACTCTTCGAAATGACGATCTTAGTTGAAGAATTTCGCTATTGATTCAAGTCAATTTTTGTAAGTTTAATTGTAGGTTTATAGTTCATAAACAATACATCGAAATCGGAAGAAATTTTTAATATTACTGGGAAGTTTTATAATCTTCCACAAAATTATTTTAAGTGAAAAAAAACTTCTTTCTTTGTCTTAACTGAGATTATAACAAAAAATATTAAAAAAAAATTTTGTAACCACACATACGAATTTATAATGAATAAAAAAAGTTAATGAATCCCGAGTCAAAAAACAAATCCTAGTTTTAACCTCAAAAACCTCAATTCCTTTGATGTTATATTTGCCGCACAGAAAGTAACTCTACTTTGATACTCAAAACCCTCATTGAAGATTTTGAGGTCTTAATGTGAACCACCCGTTGATTTAGAATCCTCACTACAACCTCAAAAGTCTCATGCAGTGAAAAGTTGTATTTTGGACTTGGAAAATTTTTGCTTCACCGAAAAAAATTTGAGTTATATTTACAAATTAACATATAACATGAGAAATATGTCACCACTTTATGTAAAAATAGTTATTAAAAAATCAAAAATACAATTTTCTTGTATACTTGAATATAACTCAAAAACTTTTCGTAAGATTTCCATAACAAACTAAACTAACACTAATCAAAAACTATTAATTCGTTTGAAAAAAGGTTTCATTTATGATGATCACATAAATTTTAGAATATTAAAAAATGAGTACAATATTCGAAAATAGTCATGAATAAAAGTGTATAAAGAATAGCAATTTAATTAATATTTTCTTAATCTATCTTCTTGTTACAAAAATTTGTTAATTTAATTGACATAATTTTTAGTTAATTTTTTTTTTTTTTAATTTGATAAATTTATTTTGATGAAATTGATTAGTAAAATGTTATATGACAACTTGTACTACTGCCAAAAAATTTTACACCTTGATCACTTTGAATTTATTTTATCAGATAAAACCATTTGTTTATTTAAAAAATGCAGAGAGGATTTGTTAAAAAACAATAGTGCCATATTCATTTAAAATTTTTAATAATAAAATTATTAAAGAATATTGTGAGGATTTTGAGGTTCAAATCGTGACTACTTTTCATATTGAAATCTATCTTGAAATTCCAAATTAGCCCTCAAAAACCTCACTGAGGATTTTGAGGCTCAAATTGGAATTTATATTTCGACTCAGGAAGCATATGGCTGAAAAACTTATCATTTCGTTACCATCATAAACGTGGTAAGGGTAATTTTTTTTTAATATGATAAAGGATCGAATTTTTAGTATATGCTTCACCCTCATTAGTTATCATGAATCCAATCACGGTCCCATAGCCAGGACAAAGGTTATAAACAATCAATCAAAACCAACAAACAATGTTATTCTTTCAGCAATTTTCTTAACATCTTGCAAAATAAACAAAAATTAAATAAAAAATCATTTTGCCCATAATCTTTTGTTCTAACATAATTAGTTATTTTCGATACATAGGTATGCGCAAAGGTAGGGATTTTGACGACTTGAAGTGACGTCACAAGTTTGAGGCTATGGACGCATTATTATCAAGACCGAGTTATTTATCCTGACGAGCGTAGCGAGTCCGGATATAATTTTTTGTCATATCAATTGCGGAAGTTGGATTTGAGAGAACAGTCAAGAATGTTCAATTACTGTTTATTTTATTTAAAGGCACAAGAATTATGTCACACGAGATTAAATAGCGATGGATTAAACGCACGTATATGTTGAAGTTGTTTACAAGATTCAACTGTCGCTAAGATTCTTTTTGCGATTTTTACTCCACCCAACGGACGTTTGTTAAATTAAAAGATAATTCGACTCATTTATAGCGTATTTTAGCGTAGTCGTGCAGAAATGTAGAGACAGATAGAGAGAGAGAAGTTATTTTTCGATACTAGTGCGAGGTAAACTAACTAAACTATATAGATTGCCAGAAATAGTATTCTTTGCGCCCTCTGTGTATTGCTCGAAAATCCAACTTTCGCGGTTGATATGTCAAAAAAATATATTATGAAGCATATATGCTCATGAATTTTTACAGAACTATTTTTTCAAAAAAAAACATATTTTTCCATATATTTTATATTTAAAATATGACCCTACACTTTTCAGCGTAGATAGAAATTTTTTAATGCAACTTCGGCGCGCTCTATTCTTTAATCATGTAGACGGATGAAAAAATTTTTGGTGTAATAATTATTGGAAATTTTATGCTCTATAATTTTCGATGAAATTTTCTGTGAATATTATTTATTCTGAGTTATTTCGGAAAACAATGAAAACTTCTCTGAGCATAGAAAAGAATAAGTAAATTCTGACCGGAAAGTAATGCCCAATAGACTGGCTACCTTTAGAGAACATACCAAGCCTTTGTATTTTCTAAAATTTGTCATTGGTTTCAGTTAGAATCATTACAAATATACATTGTTCTTTCATCAAAGTTATATTGTTCGACATTTTGACCGGAATTTCTTTAATTATTTCGTAAATAAAAAAATTAAAAAAAAACGAGAAATATTGTATGAAAATGTGCAGTTAAACCGTGAAACGAAATTAAAATGAAACACCACAGACTATCAATGAACATGGTGTTGACACTTCTAATATAGATTCAAATGGAATAGTCTTAAAAGTGAGTTGGGAAGCGCGTTTGCTCAGAGCCTCTGTAAATACCTGGTGCAGCGTAGATAAACATCTGTACATTCAAACAGGCAGTAGTCACAAAATAGTGGAAACAATCAACGAACTAAAACAATCCTACTGAAAATTAATCCTTAATTTATCTATTGTAATTTAAACAGGCACACAACAGACTGGTTGCTGATCTTGACGATAACAATCTGGTAGTTCTGGAAACCCAGAGCTTCACCACGGAAGTGAGTACCGCACTGGAAAAGCTAAAGCATGCAGACGTTAGAATAATACTCGGAAACTTTAATGAAGTTTGGGCCAGGAGGATATTTTGCGAAGCTTACAAGTAAGTTTGTAAATAATATTAATAATTCAATGGTATTAATGTTTTATTTTGTCGTTTATAAGTTGTATTATAAACATGTTGTTATTTATATGTTGCTGTGATATTATTTATACTTTAATAAAAGCTTTATACGCTGTATTTCATTGTCAATTATTATTATTATTATTAATGTTTTGTTTAGATTTCACATGTTCGGGAGGAAATATCAGTGGATTATAATGGGCACTTTCGCTGAAGAATGGTGGTTGAAGCCCGACGGTGGTTGTGCACCATCAGAGCTCGTTGAAGCACTACATGGCGCTATTCTGACTGATTTACTGCCATTGTCAACAGACCGACAAATCACTGTTTCGGGAATTGTAAGTTTTCGTATATTATTTTATGTATTGAGAGCGCGATGAAAATTTTTTTTCGAGATTTTTTTTGTTTCCCATCCCCAAGAGAAATTCTGATCTTCAGAATACCCTCAAAGTCTTTGAAAGGTTGGAAAATAGTCGAATTCATATTTTTTGCATCTTTTCACGCTGGAAATTTTTTAATTACTTTTTACCATTTTCTCCTAACTATAAATAATGTATACTAAAGACTCCGGGCTCATTTCAAGGAGAACTCGCCATTCAGGATACCCCAAAAGCCCTTTGAAGATTAAAAAATGATGTAATCATCGTTTTTGTATTGTTTTTTTAAGCAAAAAATATTTTCTGACTATATATCATTTTCTTCACACTTATAAAAAAGTATTCGAAAAATTAAGGCTCATTAAAAAAAAAAAATTCCATCTTTTAAGTTCCTTTCAAAGCCTTTTAAAGATTGAAAAGTGGTAAATTTCATTATTTGTGCATTTTTCCTTACGCTGGAAATTTCTGTTCGACTTTTTATCATTTTTTCCTTGCTATAAGTAATGTGTACTAACAACTTAGGCCCATTTTAAGAAGGGCTTTACCCTTTAGAATGCCATCAAAGCTCTTGAATGATTAAAAAATGCTAAAATTCATAGATTTTCAATTTTCTCTTACAGTGGAAATTTTATTTTTCAACTTTTTATCATTTTAAAAGACGTATACGAAAGATGAAGGCCCATATTTTGAGAAAAATTTGATGCTCTAAAATGCCCTTGAAGCCTTTTTAACGTTAGCTCTTTCGCCGGGGACTTTTCTTCAAGTTTTTATCACATTCTTTAAACACTAAAGAATGTGTTTGGAAGATCTAGACCCATACCAAGAAAGACTGCCCCTTAGGATGCTTCCAAAGCCATTTTAAGATGGAAAAATAACAACATTGAACGTATTTCTTTAACTTTACCGGAAAAATGTCAAAGTCAGTTTTTATTCTTAAAGCTCATTGAATTCAAACAGCTTGTCAATGACAAAATGAATTGAAAGAGGTAAATTAATCAACCAATTTAAGTTTTGTCGGCAAACAATCAATACTTTATAATCAAGTGTGCATAATGAAGTAATCCTGTTGAGTATACAGCATTTATCCGTGAAAATCAATGCCAAGAAAACGTTCTCGATCAAGAGTAAACAAAAGATACCCTAACGACCATCCGAATACCAATAGCGTGATGTCGAAACACATATACCACATATACCACATACCGATATTTATATGAGTGTGTATATGTATTATTTCTTGTATATAAATTTATCGGTATATATGAATACGACTTGATATAACTCGGCGAATTGCCAAAGCGAAACATATGGCAGGTACCGACTGGCACACATTTAGATTCTGTTTGCATAATCCTTTTTGATAAAATAAAACTCATATATATTTTGTTCTCTTCAGTTCCATTCTAGCTTTAACTCATTTTTTCACGGAGATATCCCCATTACTTTTTTTTAATTGTCTATATTCGCTTGCTGATATGTCTGGAAGCGCAAACGAGTCTCTCGTCACATTACAGAAGGGAGAAAACATTTTTCATTTGCGATGAAAATATATCTATAAACAAATAAATAAAAGAATTTGCTTTTAATTATCGTCAATTCATTTCTACTAGTTCCAAGCCAGTCTTTCACTTTGAGTGAGCTGCAAATTTTTTTACGGATGGAAGATAATTAATCTTTTGTGATTTTTTCTCGTTCGAGTGTTTTTAAATAACGATTTGAAAATAGTTTTACGTGCTTTTGCCGGAGGTATAAACAGTTTTTGATTAAAAAATTATACGCACATAGAATTTGAAAAAAATCAATTTTTTTAGATTTCATTTTTTGTAATATACATATATTCAAGTGCACACAAAGGTAATTTGATGTCAATCGAACAAGTATTCTCAAATTCATGCGGATATTTGTAAAACTGTCTCAAAGCGTGTCGCAAAAAAATGGAGCTAAGATTGAAAAACTTTAAGCGCTTTTTTCTGAAATAAAAACAGTCTTTTAAAAATCAGTGAGCAAAATTTATCAAACAGCTGATAAGATCAGTCTATAATTTTCTCACAATTTTCTCAACTGTATATTAATCGATGATTTTTTTGTCAAGCCGCTATTATGTTCAAGATAGATGTTTTCATAGTTCTTTTGATTCATCACTAGATAACATCTCATACTAACCAAATTTTTTTTACTTTTGAATTTCGATGATTCAAAGTGAAGATATCATGCTCACCGTAAATGACCTTTACCAGAGGACCTCCTGGAGATCGTCTACAGGAGTTCAAAAAATCATTATTTTAAAAAAAAAAAATTAGGAATACGGTTGACCCTGAAGGCCATCCCTGCAACTTCCCGCCAATTCTATACCTAAACGCTTGAAATTGCACTTATGACGTTTTAGAGCTCTTCGAGCTCTTAAAGACAATTTGTGTATTATTTTGAGCTCTCCAAGCTCAAAAAAATAGCTTTTGTATGCTTTTGAGCTCTTCGAGCTCAAAAGTTTGATAGAAGTTTGATAAAACACTATTTAATTTATTTTCAAATCGCAATAACTTTTGAATGAATGAACCAATTTTCACGCGGTTGGTGG